GCTAAGATCCTGAAAGCAGAGCAAAAACGACTTCGCAAGGCATGGTTCTGTCTGCTGCCCCGTCGAATGTAGATGTTTGAACTTGCCCAGGCCAAAACAGTAGCACGGCAGCTTTCTGAATCGCAGTAATTAACCCTTGTCGTTTCTCACACGATGGCGCGAATGTTTTAACGCGCATTGAGCCCGGCACTGAGAGTGATCAGCGGTCAGTGAGCTTCGCTGTCGCCTCTCTGGTGTTGAACTGTTGCCCCAGCAGCGAGTATCTGTTGAGCAGTGACTAAGCTCTGCCAGCTTTTAGTACGTGAGTCAGTGAGTGTGAATGAGTGAGCTTTGCTGCGACGAACGGCTGCCTGCAGCGCGTAAATTCTTCTTCGGTGTCGGGTGAGCAGTGACCAAGCTTCGCTCTTTCTTTTCCAAGGGAATGAATGTTTACGGCTTTGAGCCCGGCGCTGAGAGTGGTCAGCGGTGCGAGCCCTGCCGAAGCAGTGGGTGAGAGAGCTTGGCTGTGACCCGAACTGTTGCGTGGCAGCTAGTAACTTCTTCGTCTTCGGTTGAGCGTGAGCGGTTCAGCAGTGTGCAAGCCTTGTCTGAGGCAGGGCACGAATGTTTTACGGGCTTTGAGCCCGGCACTAAAAGCGATGACTCTGCGGAGTGGGGTTTGCCATCTGGCAATGAGGTCTGCCATCTGAGCCAGTGAATGTATGAGCATTGCCCAAACTGTTGCCTGAGCAGCTGGTAAACTTTCCGGCTAGTCAGTGACGAAGCCTTGCTTTGACGTAATCCCAGCCTTCTTTTTCTGAAGGCCACAAAACGTGGTTGCGTTGCGGTGTAGGGTTTAGGATGAGTAAGTGAGCCTTGCTGTAGTCCATGTGGGCAGCCAAAACTCTTTGTTGACATCTAGCAGGTTTTTCCGAATGCACGAATGTGAGCCCGTCATATCATGCTCATTCGCTTCTGAAATGTTGAGCCTGTTGCAAGGTCGAAGCTGAGCGCCGTAGTCTTTTACGTAGAGCAACGCGCAGCATGGGAAATCTGGATCCGAAATTGTCCGCTTGCAGAAAGCTAGGACAGGCAGACTCTACTGATCCGCCGCAGTTTGATTCGAGATTGTATGCTGCAGGGTGTGAGGATACAGACGAGGGAACCTGAACGAGCCCAGAGGTGGCGGGCAAATGATTTCACCCTTAGGACAAAGCCGGTGGTATAATACTCAGCTGCCAACTGAGTTTGATTGACTCCGGCATGTCTGGGACCTTCCACCGTTCTAATAGTGTTATACTACCCAAAGGGTGTGTAAGTGGGTTCCCTTGGTTTTTGCAGCAGATGGGGTGGGTTCCCTGTGGGTTCCCTTGTTTTTTGCAGCACTTCAGGTGGGCTACATATGGGTTCCCTTGTTTCTTGCAGCATTTCGGGTGGGTCTGTGTGTCTGTGTATGTTCTTCATTCAGCTTTCTTGTAGATTCCCATGGTTTTTGCAGCATGGACGGTGGGCTCCCTGTGGGTTCCCTAGTTTTTGCAGCATTTTTAAGTGGGTTCCCATGGTTTTTAACAATATCGACGGTGGATTCTCTGTGGGTTCCCTTGTTTTTTGCAACACTTCAGGTGGGCAACATATGGGTTCCCTGTTTTTTGCAGCATTTCGGGTGGTCTGTGTATGTTCTTCACTTAGCTGTCTTGTAGATTCCCATGGTTTTTGCAGCATGGACGGTGGGTTCCCTGTGGGTTCCCTAGTTTTTGCAGCATTTTTAAGTGGGCTCCCATGGTTTTTCACCGTCGATACGGTGGGTTCTCTGTTTGGTTCCCGGGTTTTTGCAGCATTTGAAGTGGGTTCCCATGGTTTTCCAATAGGCTCTTTTGGCTTTTGCAGCATGTCAGCTGGGTTCCCTGTGGGTTTCCTAGTTTTTTGCAGCATTTTAATGGGTTCCCATGGTTTAACAGCATCGACGGTGGGTTCCCTGTGGGTTCCTTGCTTTTTGCAGCATTGCAAGTGGGTTCCCATGGTTTTCCCAGCATATATTGCGCAAAGGTCTGGGCGGGCTCCCTTGGCTCTTGCAGTGTGTCAGCTCGGTTCCCTGTGGGGTACATGTGGGTTCCCATGGTTTCTCCAGCTCGCGCATTATGTTTCAGAGAAGAGTGGAACTGAAGAAGATGTTCAGGACAGTGGCTGCAGGTGTGGCCCAGTTCCATCGCACATCTTGCGCTGCATTTGGATTTGCTGCTTTGAAGTAAGGCTGCAAAAAGCACGTCTGCTATCTGCAGTTTGGGTCGAGACCAAAGACGTTAAACAGGCTCACCTCTGATGCACATGAGGCTCGCCGCCCTCCTGTGGTAATGCTCTTGATAAGTTTGCTGCGGCTAAATGCTGGCACGCTGATGCGAGGATTTTGCGGCATCTACTGGCAGATGTTAATCTCAGCTTGTAGCTTCAACTGTTTCGATTGCTTGCTGTACGTGGGCTGTTTTTGCGCTGGGAAGCTCCACTTGCAGGAGCTCTTTTTTCCTACAGAATCGTAGGAAGCCTCGAAGGGCCTCCCCTGTAATGGTCCTAACGAGTCACATGCTCGCTTGCATGTGCGAGTGCCACTCCATCCAACTGCTCGCGTGTGCAGATCAACCGTTCGCGATGTCCCGGAGCTGGCGGTGCTTGCGTGTGCAGCCTCTTATGTCGATTGTGATAAAATGGTGATTGAGTTTTCAACCTTCGTGGTTGCAATTTTTTAAATCGAATGTATATGTAGTCTGCAGCCTCCGCACTGCCTGTACGTGTACCCTTCAGCAATACGTATGACCTTCCAAACCAGCCTGCACCGTCTTCGGCACGCAGGACAGAGCAGTCTCTGCTGAAGTTGCCTTTTAGCTCTTGGCTGGCCAGAGCAAAAAAGCGTGACTTATGTGCAGTGTTGAGGCTTGGACTGTTTCTTTTTGACATGCCTTGCTTGGAAGTGTCAGTGCGGCGACATCTTTGCGAGCTTGGCGCAGACTCCTGCCTGACCTTCCCCCTGAAAGTCACCAGGTGTGCATGCGAGCTTCGACAGCAGGAGTGGGACAACTTCTGCTCCAATCTGCAAGTACTGTTGGAGACAGTCCAGACCAGCGGCAGAGTTGCGAATCCCCAATTGTGCTTTCTTCACCATCAGACTTCAGACGTGGCCTGCTGGGACCTTAAACCCCCATGTGTAGAGGCAAAATGCCAACTTCTGTGTGAAGTCGGCCCTGGCTTCTTGGTAAAGACAGAGAACCTTGGACAGTCTTCCACGACGGATTCTTGTAAGCGCCGACAGCAAAGACTTTAAAACTCCCTTCCTCTTCATGGCCAAAACGCTTCTCCCAGACAGCAAATGTGTAGACCCGGCCTGTGTCGGCTATGGTGCCAATGGCAAGGCGCCGCTGACGCAACTGGAACGCCTCCGCTCATTGCCCACTCTGCAGAAACACTCGTCCGGAGCGCGGCTCCTCCCATCCGGCGTGTTACGCGGCCTCGCTTTTTCTTCTCACATGCGCGCATGGGCGCGCTGGCGGATTTGTGCCCTCCTGTCAGCAAGGGAGCTGGAACATGGCGGCCATTTTCTGCCCCGTTCCCCAGGTGAACAAATGATGACCTTAGTCGTCTCGAACCACGACCTCGTGTCCTATGGACCGCCCCATTGGCGGGAAGAGGCGGTCACCCTACAATTTGCGGAGAAGCACACCCACCAGGCTTGCTGTGTGGCTGTCTGCCGAAAAGCCACGGACGGTAGGCCGCGCGGAGCAATGCTGGAGAAAGCAATGCACAGGGCTGCCACACACGCGGAGTGGGAATCCTGCAAGTAAGAGCTGTGGCGCGCTCTCTGGAGCTGCGTCTCGCCCGGGCCTCTGGTCGCAGAGAACCTCACAGCATGGCATGCGCTAACTTGATGACCGGCAGAGGAGAGAGCAGGAGGCTGGTGAATCGGCCAGTGGCGCTGAGTCGTCGCTGACAGCTTGTTTGCCGTCTTTTCACTGACACAAAAAAATAAGATGCTCAAAGCCAAAAATTTCTCAGAGCAAAATGTTAAAACAAGATCGTAAACCAAGCACTCGAAAAAAACATTTCGAGGTCGAATTAAGCAGCCTGCATTTGAGAATTTGTTTTAATGAGTTTTCTTGGTCGAAAACGTTTGACTTTTGTCTGTTGGAAAAGACGTTTCAGCAATTTCACGTTGTGTTTTTTGCTTCCAACCACCCTTTAGGAATTCGCGCGGTTTTTCTTTCCAGCATCATGTTTCTTCGACTCGAACCTGCAAAGCGATTTCGTTTTCTCCTTGTGTCAAAAAGTATTTAAAATTCAGTATTTCACCGTAAACAACAACGTGACAAGGTTCAATCCCATTGCAATTGGTTTTGGATTCGATTTTCTCCAAGCGAAGATGTTTGGTTTCTGCAAATTTGGAAGCCACCCGCGAGCTCTGAAGCCCCCTTTCTCGCCCTTCAAGCCCCGTTCAGTTTTGAACAACACGGGAGCGTTAGGCATGGCCGCCGCACCCCATTTGCAAATTAAGAAGCTTGGATGGCATTCACGACTTTGTCTCTCGATGACGTCCTAACGCATAGTTTGTTAAAAAACTGGGAACAGGGTGTTGCTGCAACTTGAGTGAAGAAGCTGAGAAACAGGAACGAACGAGCTGCAGGGATAAATCATGTAGCCTGAGGATACTTCCCACCAGCAACGAGATTTTTGTTTGTTGGACTGATTTGTTCATTTTGGATGCGCATCAGTTCATGCATTGTGCAGCGGAGATGACGAAGATTGCAATGCTCAGCGATTTAGACGTGATCTCAGAATTACAGTCGTATGAGGATGCGATCACGTAGTCGTGTGTGGTTTCACAGGTATGAGGTACAAGCATGTTACATGTCCTGAGTGTTCTGAAGACGTGACGTGTGGAAAGACGCCGACAACCGATCCCAGTGAGGTTGTATTCAATTTACGTCGGCATCTAACTTGATGTTTTCTCTTTGAATGCTTCGTCAGATTGTAGGCGCATGAATATGTTGGAGTCGTGGACATGGGGCTCAGGCTGTGAGGTCTTCATCCTTTCAACACTGGCATCGGACAGCTTAGCTTTCTGGCGACGCTTTGGAAAGTTCAGCCTTTTGCACGGGGGCTTACAGGGATGTCCATGCGAATGTATCATCATCCAGCTTGGCAGAATGGGTGCGACCCTTCGCTGCGCGAGTGCACAATCAGAACCCGTATGCACGCTCGACGATTCTTTTTGGGCTGACCAGGCATCGAGTGCCATGTACACAGTTTAGCCAGTCCTTGAATCATTCAGTGGCCAGTTCATCGCACAGGGTCATATCATGAAGTCCAAGAAGACGTCATCAAACGGTCCGCGATGAAGGGTACAAACATACAAAACCAGACAATCTTCCCCTACAACACAGACGCAGCAAAGCGTTTCCACCCATGTGGGCAGATCTTCCTGGCAGGCCTCGCGATATTTTAAGATGTTGCTGTTGCAAGCAATATTACTGTGGCAGATGTGGTTTTTGTGCACTCAGGAGAAAGTGAAGTTGATGCCAGGCAGGATTCAGCAGCATTTATGCCTGGAGGCTCCTTGGACATAGACAGTTTCGCCAGGCATGGAGCGGACCATGGACAGATCATCAAGTTACGGCCTTGGTTCGCGCGTGACACTGCTCCCGAGCAAGCTTTGGATCACCATGGTGAACCGGTTCACAATTCGCCCGAGGTGCCGGTGAGCTGTCGGTTCGCAGCCTGAATGGTCGCGGCGTGCCTTTGCAGTGTCTTGGTTGCACCGTCTTTGTGTGCACGATCAGCAGGAATAACTCGTGATGGCTTGACCACAAAAAAGATGCTGGAGACAAGGTTAAAAAAGTCTCGGTCCGGCGTGCTGCTGCCCCCATTGTCGGCAACATCACCAGGTTTTGGTCAGTTGGAAGTGTGGCATCCCACCTGCTCGTTATGCCCCTTCAGGCTTGCCGTCAATGACGCGGCAGCTCAGGACGACGAACATGCATTCACAATTTTGAGATGTGCTTGCAATCATGCAGAACAATTTGCACGGTGTCAGGACGCAGCCATTCTGCAGCAGCGTCTGGTCGGTCGAGAAGTGTGAGCCTTACATTGCAACGGGGTGGGCATCCTGTCATACAGAAAGGACGAACCTGTAGAGCTCAAGTCTTGAAGGTCTCGCAGTCTCAGCCATTCTCGCGCAGCATCCTTCGGACGCCTCGAGGCATGGCCCGGTGAGCAGGCTGGGACTGCGAGGTAGCAGAGACCAGAGTGCACTTCGAAAGGGCAACCGGTCCGTGCCTTTTCCTGCAAGGCGGCAGTTCGCAATGCTGCCAGGGAAGCAGCACAGGCCGTGGCTGCTGGAAGCAGTCGTTATTCGATCTTCGGGGCAGCAAAGTGGAGAGTTAGGTGAAAGGAACGTGCTCGGCTTGGAGCTTGGAACCTTGCGACCTTGTGCAGCAGGCTCGCCAGAAGCCAGACACAACTGAAGAGGAGGCCCCTGCATGTCGACTCGTGGTATCCGAACGCGGGACACAATTTCGGCTCACGAAGCGCCGTCGGTGCGGTAAAGACCGACGGCCGTATCTTGCATTTGGGCATGTGCACATTATGAATCAGAGGCCATCGCAAAGAAGTTGGTCGACCTGGATATGCCGCACTTAGATCGGATTACCAGCCTGCTGCTGAGCTGTTGCCAGCAGTAGTCCGGATGAACATCATTTGTAGCATTTTAAATTTTGGCAGGTTGATACATCGAGATTCTTCTGAGGCATGTACATTGGACAGAGCTTCGCCGACATGGACGGTGATGGCGAGAAATCTCCAGAGGATGTGTCAAACAGTCTGCCGCTTTGACCATGCAAGACTGAAGTTGCAATTGTCCATGAACGAGGAGATTCTCCCCACGCAAGAACTGGGCGGCCTCTTGAAACAAAACAACGGCGGCATTGAGGCCCCATGTCGTTTTGATCTGCATTTTGGAGTTCCAAGTGCAACCTCGGTTTGAGATTCAAGTCCTTGATTGATTAACATGTGTTTCCAGCAGTGAGTATTTTCCCAGGTCGCTCCATCTGCTTGCTGATTTTCATTTGGCACTTCAATGCCCAGCTTATTCATCTGAAGGGGTCGGGTCGGCCTTGCTCTGCAAATGTTCTGACAGGAAGTACACCTTGTTACGATGGTGTTGACACACATACTTTGCAAAGAATAGATCATAGAGTGAACCCCAGAACAAGGCATGAGGATATTGATGTTTCAACTTTCTGGCTTCAGGGGTACATGAGTTGAGTACTTCGACCGGCCTCCTTATATAGGCAGACTTACAGGAAGAGCCATAGGAAGGCGACGATGATTCTCTCAGTTTCTTCGGCCGCAGCTTTCGAGGTGAATGAAGACGAGCTGGAAAGCCAGGAGTTGCAGCTGATACAGACTGGCGAGGAGATCGCTGTGCCATTGCACCAAGTCTCCTGTGCGAAATCCACGAAAAATCATGCAGGATGCCATTGCATACTTCGCCAAGAGTGGAAGCGTTTCCAAAACAAAGTCGCGAACTTAGCTGAGCTTTTCCTGCGAGCACTTGACCTCTGCCTTCTCGAAGGCTCCTGTATGCCAATCGTGCTGAGAGCCAGCCTCAGCTTTCTCCATGCAAAGATCACAGGAGTTACTAAGTCGATGCAAGATGTCAAGTAGCCAGTCGAGCACCCATGGCATGGGCCTAGGAGCGAGCATTTTGCTCCCTACGACTTGGTGGTTGTGCCGGAGGATCAGGCAAATGCAGGGTTCTTTTTGACATTCTTCGTTGAAGACTCGACGGATGCTACGGTTCAACAGAAGCAGGTGATAGACCATATGATATGTGTATGGGGCATGTCTAAGGACGATCTACGAGGTTAGTGCAGTCATTGGATGAAATTGGTTTTCAGGTAGTTTTGTGGACCGGGCGAGTTCACAGTCGTCGATCAGATTCACCTTCGTAGAAAGGTGTATTCGGTCCTTGCTGGGCACAGATGGTGAATGCTGTTCATCTGAAAAGTAGCGACATTTAGCTGAAAGTGTCCACATGAGCCAGGATGTGGGCACAGGGTGATGTTGGTCGTTGGCCTTCATTCGGTCATTCGGTATATTGCAATCCTGAGAATCCGATGGGATGTGGTTTGGGCGAGAAAGAAGAAGCATCACCTAACATGGGACTCTGGAACCACTGACTTCGCGCCAATGCCCCACTTGGTGCTGTGTACCGTGTCCGGGCGCCTGAGGTAAATCCCGAGTACTTTACCATATCCGCCACCGGTGGGCAACTCAGTATGTCAGCTCTTCGCCTCTGCCACAACTTGGCTGGCGAGGCATCGTGCATGTTGCACCCGGGCAGCTCTCCGAGTGCATCTCTTTGACCGACTGGCCTGGGACCGAAGTCTCTTCTGGGTCGCATCCTTGAAATCTGCCCGTTGCATGGTACCTGGCCCAGGATGCATCAGAGCCTCATGTTCCGCGTGCTGCAGACGATCAACTTTTTCAAGTTTTACATGCACAAGAAGGCACATTCTGAATCTTGGTCATGGGCATTTCCCCTCGACGTGCATCCTCACAGCTGTGGACTGTCGAAGACTCTACCGTCAGTTGACCGGCTGCTATCGGCTTCGAAGTTTTGCATGCTCGATTTTGTGCTGATGCATCTTCCCGTCGAGTGCTTCCGACTTACTTGTGTCGTTGCGTCGCCAGGTGATCACACAATGGTCTACGAACGCACGATACGAGGCCTGTCAGCTCAGCCACTCTTGATGTGGCTTGCTGATCGTTTCCCAATCTTTTTGGGCCCAGGTCTATTGCCATCACAGGCAGCGCCTCAGCAGGCTCTCACCGTGCAGAATGTGGTTTGAGCTGTCTTGGGTCCGCATGCCAGGGCACACCCTGAACCCGAGGAAGCATGCCCAGTGGCCCATGGGGTTTGGCAGTTGAGATCGTGTGCAAACTGAACCGGCTACTAGACAAACTAGAAGCAATTGCAATATGAGCAAAAGACTTAAAGAAGCAGACGCTTCGCGTCCCCAGCGAAGCACAGATAGGCGTGGAAGCACATTTCAACATGTGGCGAGCCGTTGCAACCGTGGACCCTGCCCAAAGCTCCCCTAAGAAAACATGCTCTATGTCGACAGCAAGCTCTTTTTTTTCGCGGGAGTCGCTGCGCTCGCTTTCTTCGAACCAGATCCTGTCACGGGACAGGTGTTGCTTCTTTGCCAAGCCCATGTTTGTGGACTCCTTGGTGCAGGTGGCAAACAGCATCGGGGTGTGGTGCGCTTGAGAAGCATCGGTGCATCGGTCGGAAGGTGAACAGCCTCGTGCGGGAAGTGGAAGAAGTGAAGGCTCCTCGGCTCGAGTACTCCTCGGACAACCGCAGGTTTTGAGGAAAGTTCCAGTATGCCACAAGGTTATGCACATTGACCAGAACTACTACACCATTCAGGACCGCTCGCTGTTGTCTTGCTGGCCGAAGAAATGCCAGTGATGTGGCTTGCTCAGGAGTTCATGGACAAGCAGCAGCAGATCCGTGCCAGTCCAGCACGGCACTCGTATGTTCCGGTTGAGGGATGGGTTTGCTTTTCGCCGACCTATGAAGCTTGCCATCTGATTGCCTTCCGTCCGATAGTTCCAGTGATCAAGGTCAATAGTGCGCAGAAGGACTTCGAGCAAAAGCACGAATCTGCTGCGACTTGGCGGCTTTTCTCCAGCCTTGCGGTACTAGCAAAGCGTGAGCGGTTTATGCTTGTGTTGTTACTGTAGGATGCTGCGAGCATGTAGGTGCGTGCTGGATCAAAGCCGTTAGACCTGTGATTCCAAGATTGGCATCATCGATCGTCTGATCACGACTGTGCAGTGCTCCTTGCAGATTGAGCCAAGCGTTGTGCCGACCTCAGCCATTCCACGTATCGATTTTGCAGCAGAAGACGGAAGTTGAGTGATTTCAGTCCATCGAGGACCAGCTATCCGGCAACAAGCCTGACACTAATCCTTCAGCCCACCCTCCTGCAGAGGCCCCTAGCCCCGCAGTGCCTCAGGTCGAAGTCCATGGTACAAGAGAAGGAAGAGGCCTCTGACTGCGACTCTGACCGGACAAGCGCATCTTCGGATCTTTCCGAAGGCTCGTGAGAAAGCGCGCCTCCAGCGCATTGCCAAACGGGACGAAGACATGCTAGGCTGGATTCCCAGTCTTCCGTTGCCTCACCATTGTTGCTGGTGCGATTGGTTGGAGGTGACTGCATCCGCTTGATTGACTACATGTTCCAGGCGCATGACCAGCTGTTGGGTGCTGATGCAGCGAGCTCGCAGAAGATCGGGAGGCTGCACTTGTGCAAACCGTGATCGAAGCCGTGAAGCACTTCTGGAATCGCTTGGACCAGAAGGCAGAGAGCTCTGTGACCAGGGCCTCTGTGAGTGGCCAGGGGTGAGATCGCAGTCGGGAGAGCAGGGCTTTCGACCGCTTGTATACATATACGTCTCCTCTGACAGAACGTGCCGAAGCTTTTCGTGACGTCCGTGGACATGTCAGATCAGGCTCACGGGGGCACTCAAATGTGTGACTGGCAGCAGCATCTTCGATGTGGCAGGGCATTACGCTGGATCCGGGCAAGCACGATTTCGTGGAGATGCTCTTCATGCGCGTGACTTACAAGCCAAGGGTATGTCTTGCTATACGATTGTCGTGAGTTTCAATTGTGGAGACGCAACCACCGAAGGGTTTCTGACGGCTGGTTCCAGACGTTGAACCTCTTGCAGTCGATGACTTGCGTGCGACAGTCCTTGCCTCACTAGCTGTTGCATGTGCGGCGGACCAGGGCCGCCCAGACTGGATTTGCAGCCCTTGACAGGTATGATCAGTTTTGCCGCGTGCAGAACCATCAGACGGTGAAGGAGCTGCTGTGTGTTTTTTTGATGTGTCTGGTGACTGCAGAGGTGCCGTGAGGTGCCGTGTGCTCGGACCGGACTTGTCCTGCACGAAATTCCTGATACCTGGGACGGACTCGTGACTCGCGGTTGCAGTCTCTGGCGATGGAAGGGTGACAGGGGCATGATTGGGTCTACCTCTGCCGTGCGGGTCAGCGACAGATCCGGGAGTCCCCCCAGTCAAAATGAGTTCTGCACCCACGGCAGGCAAATCAAAACCTCTAAACTATCAGCGGGAGGGATGTATTGATCAACGGGATTTGCATACGTCTGCACTCTCCCTATGGTACGTGCTCGTTCTGGTGTTGTTTTTTGGTTGTATGTCTTCAATCATAATTGAAATTTGGGTGTGCTGCGTCTTGCCAGGACATCCTGATGAAAGATCGAACCTATTTGGGACAGCTGCAGACACTGTCAGTCGACTTCAAGTTGAGTTTAAGTACTCGCATGTGCTTGCAATGGCAATGACCTTCGCGAGGATACCAGGCGAGCATTCAAGACTACATCACAAGTGCCATTGACGACACGCAGGTGATTGCACTTTGCGGTGGTTATCGGGCAAAGATGCACTCATGAGACGTCCAAGAGCCAGGCATCTGCCAACCTCATGTACGAGCCTTTCCGGCCCATCTACGAGTGCTGCAAGCTTGTTTGATGTTACCTGTAAGATCCGACTGCAGCGAAGAGGACTGCCCCACATCCAGTCAGTGTTGCAATCTTGCCATGATGCTTCGCCAGGTTTGGCAAGACTTGGGATGAAGACGCTTTCAACGACCAGGAATTGCGACGCAAGAGCTACTCAGACATGGTGCGTCTGAGAGTTGCAGAATCAGTACTCAGGAGCATGACTATGATGCGCTATATGATCAGATGTCCAAGATGAGGGAGTCTCCACCTCAGCATGCCTTTTGATGTAGTGTCTGATGCATGCCATGGCGGAACTGGCGATGCTCAGGTTTCAACATGATCTCGACCGGTTCAAGCTAAGCCCGGTCTTTCTTGCTCGCTTGTTTTTATCGTGCAACGTCATCACCCGATGTGGCGATGTTCCCAGCCCGTGACAAAGACTTCGCCAGATTTGTGGCATCATTCTTGTCAACGGCAAGAGCTTGAAAGACAGATTGACGCCCATCCCAGAGGCTTAGTTCCAGGCAGCGGAGCATGGGGGATGTGTCTCTCCTGGGAGGCTACATTGAACTGCGTGAAAAACTGCCTCATTGGCCTGGCCCGGGACAAGTGCAAGGCCGGATGTTGACTGCTGGATGACTTCATGGGACGAGTTAGCTTGCAGACCCCAGTTGTCCATGCAGGAATGCTACAGTCGGTACGATTCAGTCTGCCTCCAAGCTGTTTTCACTGCGAACCGGCATTACGGACACATGCGGTTGGACATGTGTGACGGTTTGTTTGCATTTCTGCAGATGCATCGTCGAAGGTCAACAAGCTCCTGGAAGAAAGATCGAAGGATCTGGGCAAGTTCGCAAATTATGCGATGCACTTGGTGACGTAGTAGTAGCATGCCAGTTTGCAGAGCCGCGTGTAACCACTGTCGCCTGTCTAGTGTTCACGTCGCATCAGGTGAAGATGTATCACAACGTCCAAGATGCCAGATACTCGGAGGCGCGCATGACCAGTTCCGTATGGGAGCATCCATCGGCCAAGGAGAGGCCGGAGATGGAAGACCTCATGTTCGAGGTAGAGCAGATGTATTCCCTGATAAGGCAGCTCCTGCAGTGAGTGCTCTCACCCTTTGGGGGATGATGAAGCTCTGCCAGGGAGTACAAGGTAAGGATGCCTGGCGACGACGAAGTTGTCTATGAGGGTCTGAAGGCGAAGGACTGGATCTACCCCGCCCCAAGAGGTGACTCTGACCGATGTGAATCCGAGTATGGGCAGGAGAGCGATTTCACCAACAAGAAGATGATTGAAGCTAGCCAGTTCATCGCCGAGATGAAAGAGGCCCTGTCATCCCACCTTCTTGCTGCTGTGCTCGACCAACGTGGGGGCCCTTTTGCAGGAGATGGCGCTGGAGACGTACCAGAGGGCTCTGAAGGTCGAAGAGGAGATGAAAGGCGTGTCGGAGGACACGCTGAGTTGGAAGCCACCTAGCCACGCAGCAGCGGTAAAGGGGATTCGAAACTCAGCAAGAAAAGGTAAGATGCGGAGTATCAGCACAGTCACAGTGTTGCACGGGTATGCGGAACCAATCTTTTTGAGCACAGATGTTTGTTTTGCCCACTTCAGAGTTGCAAGGCCCCCCATGGCAAGTTCCGGAAAATGTCGTCAAGATGTTCTACTCAGAAGGCAATCCTATGACTTTCTGATGACCTGATGTGTATCTCGCCTTCGGACCGGCTACCTTCTTAGATCTCATGCAGCAATACATTCCATGTGCATTTTGATACAGATGACAGCCAACCTGCATTGGCCGGCTTTCTTTTTCATGTCGGAACCCTCTTTGCATAATGCGAGCATGACCTGCTGCGCGTGTTTCAGATCAGCAGGAAATCAATCTGAATTTTGCATTCGATGGCCCGCTTGGCATCTCTCTCTCGAAGACTAGATCCGAGATTCGTGAGTGACGAAGGGTTTCACGAAGCCCGCTGTGCAGTCCTGCATAATGTTCAATATCTTGTGTGCCAACTCTGCAACCTGTAATAATAACCTGTACTAGTCTGACAGTGCTGTTGATCATTGGGAAGGAACTCTTCACTGGGAGCTTTATTGATGCAGAGAAGATCGTCGTCGCTCATGAGGCCGTGTCGATGATCGTGGCGAGTTGTTCAATTGCTGCTCTGTCCTGGCAGTGTTTAGGTGCTGGAAGAATTGGACAAGATCTTGGAAACCAAGGTCGCAAGCTCGGCTCAGTCGTTTATGTTCAACAGAATAGCGCAAGGACAGGATGCAAGGGCTCTAAAGACCAGGAAATATCACGCAGACTATCATATCTCGCGTAAGTTGCGACCTTCTGAAACCATCCCTTGAGACGCAATAGCCTGCAATTGTCTACAGCACTGGGTTCGGCTTTGTCACACAACGTCGCACGCGACTTCTCCTTTCTTGACGTGGATCGGGTCTGCAGGTCAAGGTGCTGGAAGAGCGAGCACATACATTCACTGACTACGAGGCTATGCTTTTTGAAGGGACTTTCTGCTGTCTGCAAGGGTGACAATATCTTCACGTGCTGGCAGGGCTTGCTCGGTGCAGCCCCTCAAGTCCAAGCTGAGGCAGAAGCGACTGTCCGTCCTTTCTGACTGGATGCACAGCCGAATACCCGCCAATGGATACAGCCGGTTTGTGTTTTATTGGCTTGTTTACATGTTGCAAAACACAAGGAGGAAAGCAACGGACACTTCCAGTTCGTCGAGGTGGCAAAGACACGGCTTGAAGCCTACATTCTGACATGTTCCTGAGGCTGCGGGTACACGTAGTCTCGATTTTTTCTGCTCTCTTCCGTTTTTGTCTTGACTTTGAGGAAAGTTTTCGATGACAAGCTCAAGCTTTGGGAGGCTCGCAGGCCTTGAACGAGCAATCATCACGGGACGGGCTTCACCCTGTGAAGGTTACGGCCCAGTGGCAAGAGATGTCCCACAACTGGAACGTGTCTGAGTTTGTCAAGGTGGGTGGAACAGAGTCGCTTGAGGCACAGTTCACGGCCAACCTGCATAAAGGTGGATGTCGAAGCTATGAACAAGCAAGTAATGGCATCTTACAAGACGGCAAATGGCTTGACGAAGTCGTTGGAGGGCGATGAGGTGCATTTCGTGGCATGTGACAGCATGGATTTTCCGATTCCCTTGCAACTCTTCAGGTGGCTGTCAGAGTCAAAGGGATGATCGAGGAATGGTGGGAGCCTCAGGACAGAATGTGGTGCAATCTTTCCAATTTGCCGTGCTCCGTCATGGAAAGCTGCCCTGACAAGTGGAATGACTGGACTGGCATTCGAACATCTTTCTGGCTTGAAGCTCCTGTGACAAGGCGTGAGCGCATGCCCTGCATCCTTGATCTTGGAAACCCGGCTCTCCGTCCTCGGTGCCCTGAGCTGCACTAGTCACTAGTCCAACAAAACAGGGGCTTGCCCAGGAAGCATGGGACGCTGACTGAGGCACTGGGAGAAGATCTTTAAAAAGCTGAGCACCCAGGGAACATGGGCAGTTCTTTGACTTCCCTGCTTTTGCCACAAGTCGGCTTCGATGCGTGTGCTCAGGATCAACCTGGCGTACAAGGGCCCAACGTCGGCGAGCAGCATCAGCTGCTTGTCCTTGTTCGGTAGTGTTGGTTACCGTGTGCTCTCGCTTCGTGGCACCGCCTCGTGTCAGAGTCGAGCCGAGACGTCGACCAAGCACCGAGGTTTGACACAGCTTGAGGGCAACGGGGTCTTCGACCACCGCGAGTACGTGTCCGAAGTTTCTGCAAATGCCAGCGGCGAGTTTGCTCTGGAACAGTCTTTGGAGCAGGCTGGGGGTGCTCGGCTTCAGGGACCGTGGTGTGTTCGATTAAGTGTTGCTGCCAGGGACGAAGGCTTCGGGCAGATTCGGACAGTAGGATAAATTTAAACAATGTTGTGGCGGAGACATGCACAAATTAAGGATTTCGTCATGTGCGGCAATTCAAGCCCTTGCATTCCGTATTCCTCGATTGCTCTCAGGTGATAGCTGCCTGGGCAGATTTGGAACTGCCGATCATGAACCACAGGAACCAGAAGGTGCGTGAAGCCAAACAAGGGGAGGACGACCGCAGGTTCAGCCAAAGCTTGTTCCAGGACTTGTGGATTCTGGGAGACCTCCAGGATGTCATCACTCTCTGCGAGGAGGGCAGAGAGTGCGGCAAGAAAGGGGACGCGAGCGGGTGTTTGTCTGTGCTTCTCTTTCCGCAGCTCCGGTGGCTTTTTCATGTCTCTCCAGTGTCTTTTTGGAATGGCATCTGCCTGAGGATCACAGCGTGACCATTGCAACGATGATGGGGAGCCGCTTCATTCACGGCCAGGGGCTTGTGGGAGCTGCCTCCTCCAAACGGGTGTGTTGAGTGAGCACGACAAAGGGAGGGGGCACGAACTTGGAATTAGCTCGGGCTGGAGATCCAGCGTAGCTCGAACAAAGTGAGGATTCTCACTTGTGCAAGCATGATTCAACAGAGACAGCCGATCTGGCGGCCTGGACCTTACCGAGCTGCTTGAAGCCGGGTGATTACCTAGCAGTCTGAGGCATACGCGAGAAGGTGGAGATCTGGGAGAAGAGAATAAACCAGGTCAGAGAGTTGCCATGCGATTGACGTCTTAGTGTAGATCTGAATGTTTGCAAGAGGCGGCGGATGTCATCGATGAGTGGTACACAGTCCAGCGAGCCTGGATGTATCTGGAGAACATCTTTTCGGCAGAGGAGAGCCATCGTGCGCCAAGTAGATTCTCCTGTCCTGCTGCGCTACCTTAGCCGAAGCCGGCAATTCTCCAATGAAAATACAGGACATCCAGCGGCAGCTGCCACAGGAAGCAGCAAAGTTCAAGCAGGCATAGCGGCAGAAGTGCGGTGAACTGAGGATTCATGATAAAGGTGTTGAGTCTGACTCGTGCCACCTGACTCTGCATGCTTCCGCAGAAGCGAGAAAGCTTGTCAAAGAGCTGACGACACCGCTGGTGTTCAAAATGAGTTGTCATGTTGGAAGATCATCACTCTTTTTCAGCAGGTTGACAAGTTCTGGAAGGACTTGTTCCGCAAGGCTGGTGATCTGCGCGACTGGGAAAATGTAAGACACGTGCACAGCAGCCTCAGCCACGCAAGGTGCGCCAGAAGGACAAGCTCTGCATGGATGCGTTCCACATTCCCGGGGCGATCCTTGCACGTTTTGCGCGCAAACAGCCGGAAGTCTCTGAATCGATAGGGTAGTGCTCCTGCAGATTCTTGAGCGCCTCAAGTGGGCCAACGACACGTTGGACCATGCTTGGGCCTCGGAAGCACAAACATTCACCCCGAAGCGAAACCATGAATGTATGTTCACGCACATATATGCAGCTTGTGCCCATGTTGCAGTTTAATTACTGTCACACAATTCCTAGGTCCAAAAGCAACTGGAGGCTTATTTGGAGACAAAGCGCGCAGCCTTCCCCAGGCGTGTTACACATCACCGTTGCAGCCGATTGCAATTGAAACGACAGTTGAATCGACAGCCGTGGGTCAACGAGGTTCTACTTTCTCTCCAACGATGAGTTGCTCAGCATCCTTTCGCAGACGCAAACATCTCAGCGTTGTCGAGCTTTGGAGTGCAAAGCAGCCACCAAGTGTAACCTAAGGCGGAATCCACACGCCGTCCAAGAGCACATGTGCAACTTTGACTTTGTTATGCTTATTTACTTTCACTAGTTGAGCTTTCTGCTGCAGCGTTTCGGCATTCCCAGGCAAGTGCTTTGACTCTATCAATCGCGTGGTGTTCTCGGAGGCCAACTGCTCCACTAGAAACAGCAATCTTCTTGCTGTGGAAGCAACAGCTGCGCCAGACGGCTCCTGGTGAAATTCTTGGCATGAGCGACATGATCAAGGAATATGTCCGACCCTGAAAGTCTTTTGACGCATGCTGCGACATTTTCACTGATCGGCAAGGGCAATGCCGAAGAGTATCACTAAGAGCACGGCTCAAAGCTGGGGACGGTTGGCACGTCCCAGGTCCACAGTTCAACAAGCTTGATGTGCAGATGTGCAATCGCGTCTTCCAAATTTCCGGGATTTCGCAGCACAAGTCTCGGGGATGGATGGAAACATATCGGGCAAGAAGTGCCATGGAAGGCCGATAAACGTAAGTGAGTCAACTCCCGTATGGCACCTTTTGACGGGCGAGATGGAAGTAAGCAGGGTTTTCATCTGGTTCTTGCCTGTAACACATGTCTCAAGAGAATGCTGGTAGCGGCCCTCGGCTTGTTGACCGCAGGTTCGGAGCCGTTCGTCCAATCAGAGAGGGCCTGCAAAGTATGAACACCGTAGGGCAAGGTGCGGGTGTGTAAATATATAATGGTAATATGTGTACAAAGTATCAGTAGTGTTGTTCTCGGTCTTAGTACTGTTGTTAGTGTTCTTGTCATTGATACTGTTATGTTGTTGTTATTATTAGTACTACAGAAGGGAACACCGTTTTATCATGGTATTAGTATTATTGTTGTTACCATTGTCATTGTTGTATTCATTAGTATCATTATTTGTATTGGTACTGGTATAAACATTCCAGTTATTATTCTTATTGCTGCTCTCATTCTTATTCTTCTTTCTTAATACAGGAACTTTTATTAATACGAATACACACACTACATTTTACTCAAATGCGACATTTCTATTAATATTGCAGATAATACTTCTACATATATATATATATGCATACACATATATATATATATATATATATACATACAAATACAGATGTACTGCGGCATCTTGTCCCAGACTCTACCCGTTCTCAGGTCCCATTCGTGCAGCCAGTCGTGACCGGTCCTATCGTTGAGAAGTGGCTTAGTGACATCGAGGCCACGCTCAGTATTGTGGTTGATGTGTGCGTTTTACATGTCAGTGTCGCAGGTTGCCATGGTGAATGGCTTGTACGACGCGAGCAAGCAGGGTCTTCTCGCCTATCCGGAGGACTCCGTCGAATCGCCTAGAAGAGAGTCCGAGGAAGAAGCCTTGAGCGCAGGATGGCACGAACAGAACCGAGTGGTTGCTCGAGGGTCCGCGGGTTCCCAAGTCTGAGGAAAGCAAGTGTACGCGCGGAAGATGAGGCGATCACCTCTGTGTCCTAGGTACTCTGCGCAGAGCAAGATCTTGGTGGATCAGCAGTTCTGGACTGCTGAGACGGAGAAGGCACACACTCAATCGAACAGACGGAAGATTACACAACGGACGGCAATCGCGAACACAATCTGGAATTCTGGAACCTATAGAACACTCAACTTCCCGACAAAGCAGATTTCTGGCTACAGTTCGTGCAGACGCGCACACACACACTCACGCACACACGCACTCCTCGAAAGAGGTACAGTTGCAATAAAGAGAGGCAAGCGAGGTGCCTCGCCTGCTCAACGGACGCATCGAGTAGATCAGGTTCAGGGCTGGCAGCCCATCGCCACTTCTTGGGGTATCTAGTCAAGGTGGCCACCCCTCGTTTTTTGATGTTTCGACGTGGCATTTGGCCCAGCACTTCTTCAGCCTCGCGTTTGCTGGCTGGTTTCACAAAGTGGTACGTATGCTTGAAAGAGTCCTACCATGACATGCAACCTTGTCGGGTTCAGATTTCTGTCACATATGACTTACGTTTTCATGGTGCGGGCTTGCTGTTCCTACCTGTCTGTGATCTGGGGGTTTGCAAGGACTTGGATGTTCCTGAAGTTCGGCTTCACGTTGTGGGCCGATCGCTGACTTGCATGGATTGCTGAAAGAACGTCTCTGCTGTCGCAGCTTCTTTCATGTTCGAGAGAGCGGGCCCCTGGCCCTTTATCTTAGGCTGGCTAGGGTGCAATAGCAGCCATACCAGCGATTGGATTCTCTTGAGCATCGTCTGCTGGGTTTGTGGGTTCCTTAGCGGCTGCGTGCTGACTGCCTTAGTGCTGTCACGCAGCGCCCGGAACATCGTTTGGGCCTGTTTGGGAGCAGCCGTCCGCGAGCTGCACACCCCCGGGACCGGGGACCGATTGGCTCGCTACCGAGGTGTGCATGGGCACACCGCCTAATCTGGATCTGAACCTTCAGGCTCTCATTGAACGCTTTGGCAGCCTCACAATCCAGATTTCACTTTCGGACGCGGCCCGGGACCAAACCAGCAGAACCCAGGGGGCCTTCGGCAGCGACAGGGGCTACCACTGCTTCTTCCTCGGGACCCTCGGCGACAAGCAGCTCTTCACCTGGTCTGGCACCTCCAGCTGATCAGCTTGACTTGCAGCCGGCGCCTGCTACTCCTTCGGATCGTGTGCTATCCCTTGCTCGGCACTTGCGTGCCCCGCTGGGCGGCCACAGCCCTGAAGGCCGCATTCGCCTCACCTATCAGTTGGGGAGGGAGGCCGCTCGCATCTTTACAGGCGAGCGCCGCTGCTTCGAGAGTGCTAGCATCAGCTCGCGCAGGACGGTGTGCGTGATCTTGGCGGCGACCTTGTGGAGCGCCCTTTCTTCACCCACTCCGCCGACATCTACTTCAAGACGGTCAAACCGCACGGCGAGTTCGACCCGGCTTCTATTTCCCACGGCTTTGCCAGCATCTCAGAGGCGGAGGCTTTTTGCCTTGGGGCCGGACTTCCCGGCCTCCCTAGATCTCAGTGATGACCGAGCCGACCGAGCTCGAGTACCTGCAGGGATGGCGGACGGCGGCCGGTGGCGATTACACCAAGCTGTTCCTAACCTATGGGGACCGCACTTCTCATTGCCTTTTGGTTCGTGCCGTACGGTCTGGATTTAAATTGTGCGCTCCTCGCAGCGCCATCCCCCAAGCTGCTCTGGACGAGGCCACCGCATCCGAGTTCGGGGGTGTTTTGGGGCCTTGGACCGCGGCTACTTTACCGGTCGCGACCGCTGCAGGAAAGCCCATAAAGAAGACCGCCGCCTGCTCTTGTGGACATCAACGCCGCCGGGGTGAGCATGCTCAGCGAGCAGGCTCCGATGACCGTGGCAGGCGAGCTTACTTCCTTCGGCTCCCACCGGTTGCAGAATGTTTGGCCCGTCGGGAAATCCGCCTTGGAAGCCTTGGAAGTGTTCATAAATGGCGACGAGCTCGAGGACTTGCCCGAGAGGCTCGAGCCCTACTTCACCTGCAGCTCAGGCGCGGAGGCCTTGGCCGACGGGGCTGTCGGAGCCGAGCCTCCCGATGCGGTCCAGCACGAGCTCCTTCAGCAGATCCTGGCCCAGACGAGCACCCAAGGCGAGATCCTTCAACAGCGGCTCGGAGCTCTAGACCAGATCGAGGCCCGGCTTTCAATGCTAGAGGAGCGGGGAGCCCAACCTTCAGCGGAGTCGGCGCTAAAGCGACCGTTGCTGGGGGGCGCGAAGCTTCCGGGATGGGCTCCTCAGTTGTTCGAGGAGGGTGCCGATGCCAAGCTCAGCCGAGATCAAGTGGATCAGTTGCTTCAGTTGGCAGGGCAAGCACCCAGGACTTTAGGAGACCTTCCAGGCCCTTCTTCGGCTCCTTCGGCAGCCCCGAAGCTTTTGACGGCGGCGCCCAAATGCCACCCTGGTACTGTTCTCGGTGCCGGTGCTGGACTCGAGGACGACGAGGAGGACGACGAGGACTTAGGCGCGGCCACCGCGGGCGGGCACCGACCTTCTGAGCCGGCTCCTGGCCCAGCAGACCCAGATCCTCAGCCAGCTTGCTTCCTCAGCCAGGAAAAGCCACGACCCACTGCACCTCCTTGGATCCGGCGGCGACTCCGAAGAGTCTTCGAAAGTGACGGGGGTGAAAGGCATGGCGGCTCGGCAGCTCCTCCGGGAGCAGTTCCTTCAGCATCCTCGGCGAGTCCATGCAAAGGTGCGCGAGAGGCTGGCCCAGGCCCGTCGTCGCGCGTCGGTGGCGAGCTAGAGCCGCGGGACATGTGGGCCCACTTCCAGGAGACTGTGCCCCTTGGCAACTTCAAGACCTTGACCTACCTGTCTTTCTTGATGGCCGAGATGTGGGAAGCAGCCGAGCGGGGCCACCAGGAGGAGTTGCTCAGCCTTTTGAGCTTGGGCCTGGTGTTCTGCGAGCAAGCTGCGAACGAGCAAGGGCACACCCGCCTGGCCTGGCTCCTTACGTGCCGGGAAGACCCTCCGTTTGCGGTGGTGGAGCAGCGGAAGGCACCTCGAGCCGAAGTTCCTCACGGAGATGGATTGCTACGCAGCTGGGGTATCTCCGCGACGTCGAGACCATCCAGGACAGGACCCAGCGGTCTCATCACCAGCAGCTCGGGACGGGGGCGCCAGCCCCGGAGACCCCAAAAGGGAAAGGGCGTCGAGGCGCCAAGAACCAGCCGGAGGCTGGGGCCGCAAGCAGCCAGTGACTGCCACTTGGTTCCTGCCTGAACTTTTTCCTTCTGGGTTAGATGGGTACGTGACTGCTTCTCGGCTTTGTACACACCTCTTGAAGTTTTTGGTCAGATCCCACACCCGATTAGCGAATTATATTGCAAAGTCTTTAGCTCTACCATTTTCGAGCTCTGCCTCGCAAAGCTCCACCATACTGTGGCCGTGCTCCATTCCTGATCCTTTGCCTGCTCCTCGTACGAGGCTTGTGGGCCGGCGCAAGGCGCGCTGGGACTTCCGAAATTCCTGCCGCGATCATGGGTCCGCCTTCTAGTGGCCGCGGGCAATTGGTTGGTTCAAGGGAGGCCGGGAGCCCCCACCGCAGACTTGCCGCCCCTCTCTGCCAAGCAGTTACAAATGCTAGCCAGGCTGGAGAGGCATGCCGCAGTGTGGATCCGCTTAGCGCAAGGGCCAAAATGCGGATTGGAACGCGCTTTTCAGAAATTCGACCAGATTGACAAACAGCTTCAAGTGCTACATCAGATGAGTGCTGAATTGTATTCCGATTTACAGCCTTACAGCAAACCTCCCGGAGGCCAAGAAGCGGAGAAGAACACCGTCGACAGTGAGCCCTCGGCAGCTTCACCTATGAAGGTCAGCTTGAAAGCCTCAGCCCCAACTTGCAGCCTGAAGATTGACCCGAAGCGCCTCAAGTTCGAGCATGCACCCCGTTTCAAAGCTGAGCCCTTCTTGGTGGATCCTCTGCTTCGAGCAGGGTTTTCCGACCCAAGTGTGTTTCAACGGCCGGCGTCCGATTGGGATCGGCCAAAGCGGGCTCGGGTTCAAGCCAGCTAAGCCGATCAACTGGAATTATATCGCAAATGGGATGCGGTTGAAAGTCTGTATCTTCTTCGTGCTTCGGAGTCTGAGGTGAAGTTCCGTTGTGGCTTGTTTGCGGTGTATAAGAACGATAAGTTCGACAGGCAGATCCTGAACCCGATCCCGGAAAACGGGCGGTCATTCTCAGTATCCGACGCCACTTTGAGTCTGGCCCACGCTTCGCTCCTTTGCCAGCTTTATCTCCCAGCGGGAAAGAATCTGGTGATAAACTCTGATGACCTGGAAGATTTCTATCATGGGTTTCAAGTGGACGATAGACATGCTGCTAGGAATCACATCCACGGGGTCTTTTATGGTCGTGATTTTCAAGGGTGGCAGGCGTACAGGGAGGAGCTGCACGATGTACAAGTTGTGGGATGCTTTAAGACGCTGGCAATGGGGACGAATTTTGCCGTAGAAACGGCACAGCACGCTCACTCGGTGCTTCTTCGGCGAGCTGGAGGGCTACACCCGAGCGAACAAGTGGCCCATCGCCAAGCGTTACCTAAAGGGCCGGGTTTCGATCTGTTGTGCATAGACGACCGGGTGTTCCTCCTTGTGGTCTGCGCTTCGGAGCTTAACAGGCCCCCCCAGCTCGACCGCAGGGACATTCGCTTATTCAGCCAGGCTGCAGCGCAGTATGAGAAGGCGCATTTGCGGGTTTCCCAAAAGAAGGCAGTTCGGAACTCCTACCAAGCTGTCGTATTAGGCGGTGAACTGGACGGGGTGCGCGGCGACCTGGCTGCTCCTCGCTTGAAGACGGCAGCCTTATGCTGCCTGACTTTTCAGCTGATCGTCCTCGGAGTTTGTTCCAAGAGCCTTCTACAATGCATTCTGGGTTGCTGGGTTTTCGTCACTATGTTTCGGCGTCCGGCTATGTCCTTGCTAGGTCAGGTATACCACGATCTCCGGGGCCGAGAGGATGATGAAGTGTTCAGGTTGTCCATGGAAGCAAAGCAGGAACTATTGCAGCTGATCGTGTGGGCTCCTCTGATGTTCAGCAATTTGCGCGCCGAACCTGTGGAAGCCTTATTTTGCACTGATGCCTCCCCTTTTGCAGCGGGGGTATGTGAAGCCCGGATGCCCAGGGAAGCGGTTCTCGAGCTGTTACGGCATGCTGACTACAAGGGTCATCACACTATGTTGCAGCCTGCTATTTCGAGCTACCTTGAGATGCATCAAGAGTTCATTGCTTCGGTTCCGCATAAGCTTCCAGGGAGTCTGGCTGAGGGGATTCTGTTCGATGTTTGCGAGATCTTCCAGGGGGCGAATGCGCTCTCCCTCGCGGCCTCTCGAGTAGGGCTTCGCGTGCACAAAGGGTTCAATCTCCGCGATGCTATTCAAGGTGATCTTCTACAATCGCAACCTATGCATCATATTGTAGGCCTCATCTGCCGCCGGGTGATTGCATACGTTCATATATCTCCGGGTTGCAGATCCTTTGGCAGCGCGGTGAAGCCGAAACTGCGAAGTCGTGCAGCTCCTTGGGGTTTGGACCCCCGAGAAGCTCAGACCTTGGAGGGGAACAGGTTCGCGGCACGTTTGGCATTTATCCTCCACCTTTGTGCCGCCTATGGGATTTTGGCCTCCATTGAGCAACCTGTTAACTCAGTGATGTTCAGGCTTGGGAGCTTCAGGAAACTTTTGCGCACGGGCTTCAGCAAAGTTCGCTTTTGTGCTTGTTCGTTTGGCTCTCCTTTTCACGGAGCCACCCATTGGCTGGCCAACAATCCTGAGCTTCGACAGCTGGAAGGTGATTGCACGTGTCCGCTAAAAGGTCGCCACCTTCGGATGGAGCCAGCTCTGACTCATGATAACATCCAGTTGTTCATGGGACTTTGCCGTCCTGATGCTTGTACGGTTTTTGGCAGGGTTCCCGCTGTAGGGGAGCTTGTGCGTACATACAGCCAACAGTGTCCCCTGCCTGCCCTTTACCAGGCACTTACAATACAGGCGCCCAGGATTCGTGCATTGCAGACTGCCGGTGACATGCTCCGCCGCCCAGCTCATCAGCCTGCTCGCTGGATTGGGGATTTGGGTACATGCCTGGGTTGGAAGAAGCTGCTTCAATACCGTTTTCGGAAGCAGAACCACATTAACATAAATGAGGAGCTCTGTTTGCGTAGCCTCTTTCGACACTTGTCTTCCGTACATCCTGTTTCGAGATTTGGTGTTTTACTGGACAGCAGAGTGACAATCGGTTGCAATGCAAAAGGAAGGAGCAGCAGCATGAAGCTGAATTACTATTTGAGCACTAGTCTGCCTTTCATTTTGGGCGGTGAGCTTTTTCCTGCTCTCTTCCATATAGGCACCGGCGACAATGTTTCGGATGATCCATCCCGACTTCGCGAGCTGAGAACAGCTCCAGCGGAACAGCCAGTCTGGCTCAGGCTTTTCCTAGCTGGGCGGCACAAGTACTTTGACCTGGTTCGAGCTGCCGACGACCGTCTCTGGCCTCTTTCGGGCTGGAGCCGTTTTGCTGTGCTCCTCTTAGCTCTCTCGTGGGATGCCGCGCCGACGGAAGGCAAACCAAGCCTCCCGAGCGCACGTCAATCTGGACCCCGCTGCAGGCCTCACTCCTGTGGTGGCGAGCCGTCGCCATGAGCTGTATAGGAAGTTTTGCCGATGGATCGAAGAGGAGCTGCACTGCGAGTTTGCTCAAGTTTGTGCCTCGGGCCTTTTGTTGAGCACTGCTTTAGTGGGCTACGGCAAGAGCTTGTTTTATTCAGGGCAGCCGAAGTATGTCTTTTCAGAGAGCATCAACGCGGTTTCTGACCAATTTAAGCATCTGCGCGCTCACTTTGCTGCTGCTTGGGGCATTCTGTCTCGCTGGGAAGAAGAAGAGCCTGGTGAACGTTCGATGGTGATGCCGGAATCTTTGCTTCGCGCGGCAGTAACGCTGTCTCTTTTGTGGCGCTGGCCTCACTTCACAGGGTTTCTGCTACTGGGCTTTCACGCACTGCTGCGGCCCAGTGAGATTTTGAAGCTACGCCGCAGAGATTTGATTTTACCGCGAGATCTGCTCACTGATGTTCCGGTGGCCTTTGTTCGAATACTGGGCTCAAAGACCAAGCGTTTCCTGCAGAGACAGCACGCTCGCATCTCAGATGCCCTCTCCGTGGCATTTTTGGACGCTCTCTTCGGCCACTGCCACCCTCTCTCGCCTCTCTTCGACTGCAGTCCTGCGGTGCTCCGTCGGCGCTGGAACGCGTTGTTCAGCGCCTTAGGCGTGCCGGTGACTGAGGATTTGAAGGGCATCACGCCTAAATCTTTGCGGGGCTCTGGAGCTACCTGGCTCTACCAACGCACTGAAGAGGTGGATAAGATCATGTGGCGAGGTCGGTGGCAGCAGAGGCGAACTCTTGAACATTATTTACAAGATGTGGCAGGCCAGTTGCTGTTGGTCGACCTGGCAGAGAGCCATAGGCTCCAGATACAGCAACTGTCGGGCCTGTCGGTCCGTTTTCTGGTCGATTTCGTGAATACCTTTCATTTTGCGCACAGCTCCAGATGAAAACCTGGCAGAGTTGGAAAAGGGTGCTTGGGCTCCAGTGTGCAGTCAACTGTTTGCTTGGAGCTTCAGCTCCTGCCCTCGACAGACCGGTCTGGCAAAGTCACGGCCTTTTCTGCGGAAGCTTACTCGGGACACTTACGTGCAGCAGAGAAAAAGAGGCCATCCATGACTTGCATGGATTGCTGAAAAAACGTCTCTGCTGTCGCAGCTTCTTTCATCCCGCCCTCCCGCCCGGAAAGGGGTGCTTGGGCTCCAGTGTGCAGTCAACTGTTTACTTGGAGCTTCAGCTCCTGCCCTCGACAGACCGGTCTGGCAAAGTCACGGCCTTTTCTGCGGAAGCTTACTCGGGACATTTACGTGCAGCAGAGCAAAAGAGGCCATCCATGTTTTGCGGTTTCAGAAAATGCAAAGGTGAAGGGCCCGGGTTTTGGCGATCTTTAGGGATGTATGTTTGATATCGGTGGCAGGTTGCACTGCCCAGCCCCCACGACGATGTCCAATGTTCCACTTAGTTTACTCCTTGCTACATTGGCGCTGAAAGACAGCTGCCCAGAACAGTCTCAAAGTTTATTGCTCCACTTCTGACCTCTAGTGCGCGTCTTACGGTCTCAGGAAAGGTTTTCGGGTCTGCTATCCTACGTTTTTTCGGGTTTCATCTCCCAGGAAAGATCCAGTTGGGAGCGAGTCCTTGCTGTTTGTTGCGACTGTCAAGCTTTCGCGGTTGTTACCCATCGCGACCTTTGAGAATCTAGGGTTTCAGTATCATTCTGGCTCTCATCCGTCATTGTGAGGGTTTCGGAAGGATTAGGATGTGCCAGATATAACGATTGTTAAGGTGTTGTATTGGCAACTTGTCGCGACTTACGGGGTTTCAGAAAAGGCTGTGGGTTGCCTTTAGGGTTGCATCGGGCTTTCCAGAAATTGTATTAGGGGTTTGGTTCCACAAGTTTCAGGGTTTCGTGACGAAGGTGCCAGGAAAGTTTTAGACTTGCGACCATTGCGGGTTTCGGATTAAATGTTGTCTGCGCATCGTGGCCAGAATTTCTGCCGAAAAGGTTTTCCGCCTTGGAGTGATGTTCGCCGCTATAGATCGCAGTTTTTCGGGACTTGGAAGAGGCGTTGCTGCGCTTCGTGTCTTTTAGGTTTCGTGGTATTTACCCGTCGTGCGTTTCCGGGTCTCGCAAACGGCTTAGGATTGCATTGCGACATTCAGAGTTTGCTTTTTGTTGTCACAGTTTGATGTTGAGCTACACGAAATGTTGTGGCCGGTGGAGGCTGAAGCTGTTGGGGGCCTCGGGCTTGCAGTTTTCTCGCGGCTTCTCCAGGAAGAGATGCATTGGGGGGCACAAGGCACACAATCAAGCGTGCGGCATCGGGGAAAGGGTTTTTCGTGTGCGTGTAGAGTGTTTTCTGTATGCAGCACAAAAAATGTTGTATGGGCCTTCAAAACTATAAGGTCGGTGGTTGGATCTGAAGGTTGAACCCATTATGTCTGAAGTTCTAAGCAATTTTTCGCATGTTTCGGTTCAGACCTTCCAACATGTTGCAGAGGCGCAAAACAAAGCGACTCTTCTGGGACTTTGGATTTTGCCCGTTTGGGGGCAAAGTGTGTGGAGCCGGCACGTGCCCAACGCCGAACTGGAAAACACACGGACTCGTCGTTCTCTTGCGATCGTGTACCCTAAGATGCAGTGAACAGATATAGAGGCTGTCCGAACGTGTGCCGTGAGGCTCTTTGCAAAATTGCCGCCGGCGATGTCTGCCGCTTGGAAGGGTCGAGTGCCAGAGTCAATGACATTGGACCTTTACCCGCCACTGTCCCTGCCAACAGGCAAATGGCATGAAGGACAACATAGAGTTCCACAACCAGCAGCTGAAAAACAGTGTCAGCATCGTTCGGCAGCCTACGATTCTGTCCTTCGTTCTGTTATTGCCTGAAATTGATGTACTCACTCTCAGGTTCGCATGCAGCTCACCAAGAATCAGCGAGTCATGGCCTCGGCGAAACTTTACCCATGCACCCATGATGCGCCAAGAGTGAGAGCGGATTGCGGTTATGAGGTTCTGATGGGAGCCTTGATCGTCCTCGATGTGTGCGCCTCAGCCTCCTGTGACGCATCTCAGCTTTGGGAGTTTTCGAGAATCAGGGGATACCTTGTTTTGGGTGTACTTGTGGTAAGGATGCTATTATGTACGGCAAAAAATTGGGGTCCCGTATTCCCGAAAACTCCCATTTCTTGCAAGATCGAGTTTCAATGCAGAGAGCTTGGATTGTCGTCCCTGCAGCACAGTTCGGCTTCTCGTGAACATCGAAATGGATTGAGCTTCCGGAAGGATCAGCACAGCCCACAAGAGAAAACATTGCAAGCCGCCCTGGCAAGCATGGTGTTTGCACTTTTCCCATGTGTTTTTTTCGTGATGAGGCTAAGCGGTCAGAAACCGCTTTGTGTCGAGAAGATGTAGTGGATGGCTTTGGCCGTGTTTGGCCTTGCCAAGACCAGAAGCTTCCTGACATACTATTTTCCTGATGAGGATGACTTCTGAAGCCGGTGAGCGACATGCTCGTCGTTGACCCAAATTTGCTGCACTGGCGCAGTGTACTTGCCGGAACTTCTCGAAGGAAGGGAAGCAATCCTTGGACTGAAGGTTCATTCGTGATAAGACTGAAAAAAGCCCTACAGAAGAAGGACCATCCTCCCCGATGTTCTCCGGTCCTCATTACATGTGGGCAGACCCCGTACGTGAAGAGCGAGCGAGTGGAGATTCTGTTGTTGCGCACGCTTGCAGCCATCCAGGTCCACGGCATCACGGTGCTCGAGAATCTGATGGAAGCGGGCACAAGCAGCTTGAACGCGCCTTCCCCAGCAAATGAAGGGCGTCTGTGTTTGCCGGTGCAGAAACCCCCTAAACCCCAAAACCGGCGAACCCTAGCTGCCCCAGCTATTCTTTTCGAGGATTTCGATTGGAGCAAGCAGTTGCGCTACTACTGGGTGCCAGAGTCCGAGGAGGCCGAGGGTCTAGTCTGGACCAGACTAGGCTCCATTAATCTCGACTATACTATTCAATGCAGACTATGCAGTACTTACCATACTGAACTGTACTCTACGACACCATACCATACTGTGCGATATTATACTATACCATACTGTACTATACTTTGCTATGCTGCTTTACATTGCACGTAAGGCATTATCTCGCGCATTTTTTTGGAGATGTCCCGAACAAAAATTCTGCGATCCTGAGTTGCAGGTGGAAACTTCCCTGATCAACATGGTCTCGGATGACTGTGCTTGGAGCCTCAGCCTCCCTGGGGCACTTCATCTCAGGCGTCCCAGGAGCCAGTCACCGGTAGAACTGCAAAGCTTCCCTGGGTTTAGAAAAGATTGTAGCATATGATAAAATGACGGGCATACTGTAGTAGATGGAAGCCAGCAGAAGCGAACACATGCCTAAACGGTGGTTTACACTGTTCACAGGTCTGAAGGTCCGTCAAAAATGGTTTGAGCAGCGAGAGTGCTGACTGTCGCCACATTCGTATGTGAATTCTGGCGTAATGAGTGGCTTGGCCGGTGACCCTGGGCTTGTTGCAGCACGCGAGTAGCTAGCATTCTGCGGGGCAGCTTGTCCGACGAGGTCTGCCGACAAACCATTGCCTGCTTCAAGTACTCGTACGAGTATTTGGGAAACACGCCGCGACTGGCTGGGGGCCCGCGCAACGTCCGTGTCGAGGTTGTTTCTCACAGGTTACGAAAGTCTGTGCCGTCCTGAACAAGGTTGTCACGCCCTTGACCGACAAGTGCTACATGACGTTGACAGGACAGTGCTGGTGTTTGGTCGGAGCATCATCCCTGTGCTTTCCTGACAATTGCTTCAGCCAAAGGCGCCATGCACCTGAATTACGGTGGTGCACCCGCTGGTCCAGCCGGCACAGGACTGACAGGAAGGCAAGCAACCGCTGGTACAGAGCCTGGAGTTTCCTCCCTGGCAGGAAAGACAGAGACCACAAAAGACTTGGGTAAAGCCTTGGCCGTGCCGGTCGTGGTGTTCAACTGTGCCTCAGATGCCCTTATCAGAGGGATTTCTGTTTTCACAGGGTTGCTCGTGCCTTGTTTAGATCAGCCAAATCTGAGCTGTGGCCCAGCTGAGGTTCCGATGGCCTCGACTACAAAATCATGGGCCGATTCTTTTCAGGTCTTGCCCAGGCAGGAGCATGGGCCTGCTTCGACGAGCAGCTCCGGCATGTGTTTCTGAAACATACTCCTTGAGAAAGGATCTTCGGCCAGTTTGGAGCTCTGATTTCAGCCAGGTTCAATCGTATCCAGGTCGAAGTCCTCAGCGTGATTGCGCAACAGATGCTGACAGTGACACAGGCTGGTATCGTCCCAAATGTCAGGCATCCAATCGTGCCTCGTACTTTTGGCACGGCATGACTTGCTTGCTGGAGGCTATCCGGCAGCGAAAAGAAGTTTTCGAGTTTCTGGGCAACGAGATCCCTTTGAATCGACGCTTCGGGGACCGTGCCTGAGCAATCGGCTGCATGTCTGGAAGGACTGGTTTCAGGTCTGGTATGTTGGCTAATGCCCAGGTGTACATCACCATGAACCCTGGATATGCTGGACGAGCTGAGCTTCCGGACAACTTAAAGGCGCTCTTCCGCCCCGTCGCTGCGGCCCTGGTCAGAATCAAGGTTCAGGGCCGTAGTAGTTTTTCATTTCTCTCGACATTTTTGGTGAAGTTCAACCCAAAAGCGAGGCCATGATGGTTCCAGACTACGGGCTGATTGCGCCTTGCTCGCATTGCGCCCCTGCGCTGCCCCTCTCCTTGCCTTGCGGCTTCTGCCGCTTAGTTCTCTGGGTGTTTCTCTGCAGGCTGAGATCATTCTGTATTCAGAGGGTTTCAACGCGGCCAAGATGCTTGCAAGTGGCCCAGGGGAGCCGATCTCTGCCGCGGTTTCGTTTCCTTTTGGCCTCTCTCAGGCTCGGAAGATGGTGAACCTCTATCGGCTTTCCTCAGAGCAGCTTTCGAAACAGGATCACTATGACTGGCACTCAGACTGCTGTTTGCGCATGCTCGTCGACCGTGAGGATGAATAAGCTCCTGGAAGCACGGAACACGGAACACCGCGATGCAGTGGCTGTTGACGATGTAACTTGTGGCTATCTGTGCAGATCTATACCCCTGCCAGCTCCAAAGCATCATCTCACCTCGCATCACTGTCTCTGTGTCTGGGATTTCCCTTCTTCTCTCCCTCCCGCCAGGGAGCTCTTATCGCATATCCTCCATCGGACTGTGTCTAACCGCATCACAAGCACGGCTCAACCTAAGTGAGTTTGGACAAACGGAGCACAGCCTACGAACGGTGCCACATCGTCGTTCTCGACCATGCATGGACTCTTCTGCTCAAATTTGCAGAGGCTCGAAAGTTGAAAAGCCCCGAAGCCAGTGCAAGGCGCGGTCTGCTCGACCCAAGTAGCCTAGGTGTGCAGGCCACCACTCACGCACTTCGCGCACGTGCATCAAGTTGCATCCGCCCCTGGCAGTGTTCCTGTGGAGAGATAAACCCGACTTCACAACAGGTATCTGTCGAGATGACACCTAAGGTGGCATCTGAGCGGCGCATGCTCAGTTGTCACAGGTTCTGCAACTCTGAACAGCGTTGGCTACATCTTCTGCTGTTCGGGCGCGGCGCTGCAGCTACAACTTTCGGCAACCCAACGCGACGACGGGTATTGGGCCACAGCATCAGGAGCGTGCTACTCTCCTCAGAAAGCGAAAGTTGCCTGCTCTGTTTTTTCCGGCACGGTATGCCGACGTCAGCGAAGCGACACATACCGGTCAACGACACACAAAGGACGGCACAACCGCATAGCTCGTTTCAGACTACCCTCGACTCGTATTACGTCTTAGCTGCCTCCGACTGTTTCACACCCCAGATCATACACTGCATAGCTGCGAACGAAGCAACTACTGTAGAAGCTCATTTTCGGAAATGCCGTCTTACCGAGGATTTTGGCATGCGAGCCGTCTCTCTGGCTGCTTCAAAGCGACTCCACGAGTGCGCAGTGAGGTTTGAGGACTGTTCTGTGCCAGGTGAAGTCAGTTCTGGTCATGGCTGGACACCTGAAGCGCTTTCGTCTCAGGTCTTGTGCGAGTGGCATCATGATGTATCTTTTGATGAGCCTACTTCTGCATTCCAGGTCAGAATCCAGATTTGGAAGAGAATGTGACGCTCATCCGCGCGCTCCGTGATTCCAACGCACCCAAGCAAAATCCTCAATTTCTGCTTCGTTCTGTGTGCGACATGCTTGCCATGGCTTTTGTCGACAGTTTCCTCGACTCCCCCTTCGCATGACAAGTCGCAAGAAAAAGCAGGGGATCTGCATCCGTAATCGTTTCCGAACCCCCCTTTGAGCTCATGTATGATCCCGGTTCTCGGTTCGCCGACCCCCCCCAATGGTATCCCCCCCTCCCACCCACTCCGCCAGCCGAATCCGAGTGGCTGCGCACACTTTTTGCACATGAGGGCCCCAAAACCCTCATCTGTCACGAGGATCCGTGTGACGGTACCACTTTTTCCGACACGATTCACACGTCACGTGAGGCCGCCAAAGCCGTCAATTGTCACGAGGATCGCATCCCAAACACGCACGATCCTTGTGACTCTGGACGCTTGCCAAAGAAAAACGACTCCGACATCAGGGTCTTAAACAACGCAACTGTGACGAGGACTGCGTTCCCTGACAGGCCCGATCCCTGTGACAGTTGTCCCTGTGCAATCTTATGGCAATTGCCCCCAAAGCGACAACTGTCACGAAGATAGTGGTCCTACGATCAATACAGCGATAATCATTTCCAGGGAGGGGGTCAGAAACACCCGACGACCAACCAAAGAAACATTGAGATGTTTGAGTTAATGATGATGATGATGATGGTGCTCATCCATCATCGTCCCGATCATCATCATTATCACCAAGGGATGAGTATACCAAACACCCAAAGCAGACCCCAAAACGCCTGGGAGAACCACCGCAAGAAAACCCGAACCCACACCATGCCACAGAGGGGGATGGGGGGAATCACCCCAAGCAGACCCACGCTCTCCGCCGCGCCCTCTGTGGCGTGGTGTGGTGGGTTTGGGTTGTTTAACCCCCCTCGTCTCCCTGTGGTGTGGTCGTGGTGGGTTTTGGGTTATTTAACCACTCCCCTCTCCCCTGTGGTGTGATGTGTTGTGCTGGGGTGGGGTTTCGGGTTTAGTGTTTAACCCCCTTCCCCCCTCCCCGTGGTGTGGTGGTGGGTGTTGGGTTTGGGGTGCAGGGTTTGAACCCGCGCTGGGTGATGGGGTTGTTTAGGGTTTAGGTGTTTCGATATCAAAGGGTTTAGGCTTGAGGGTCAGCAGCTGGGCGCGGCGCAGACCGAAACCATGGCCCATCCAGATGCCACTTTGGACACGCCACGAAGTTGCAACAGCTTCAGAAGCCACAATACTCACTGAGATCGCGGGTTCGGGGGGCTCGTCCCTGTGACTGTTGGCGCTAGGGCCGGGGGGGAGACTGCTAACACGCGACTGAATGCATAGGAAGCTCGCCGTCACATCTTCGTTGGTGGCGTTTTGCGGTGCTGCAGTGCTCAGGTTCCTGTCTTTCGACCTGCCGCTTTTCAGTGGCATCATCTCAGACTTGTACCCCGATGTTCTGGCCTCGGTTCTTACAAGGACGGCCCTGATGCGCAAGCTGTTCCCGACAAGGTCGTCATTCCAGACGTGGACTACGGAAAGTTGAAGACGGAGATCGAGAACCAGTTGCGCTTGGTGAACTTGCAGGTCCTTCGTCTTGTGGATGTGAGTCCCCAGCCGTCGCGTTTGCTTCTGGCATCTTCATTGGTTTCATGTGTCCAGGTAGTGCCTTCCTTCCTGACCAAGATCACGCAGCTCCTTGAGACACAGCTTGTGAGGTGCACGCGTTTTTGGTTTGCGCAGTGTCGTGTTGATCGTGCTGTATGGTGATGCTGCTGTCAGCCAGGCATGGCGTCATGTTGGTGGGCTTGACGATGACGGGGAAGTCCACGAACTCCAACATCCTGGCGAAGACTCTCACGCAGCTGAAGAAGGTGCAGCTGCAGTCCGAGAGGTGGAGCTTTCTGGGGGGGACTCTAAGTCTAGCGCTTTCGCAGGACGGTTCCACGGATCCGGCCCACCAGCTCACCAAGATCTTCTTCTTGAATCCCAAGAGACCGGCTCTCGGAGTCCTCTTTGGAGCCTTAGAGTGAACGCAGGAAGCTCCGCAGTTCCCAGGTATCACGATCGAGGAGCTCTACGGGTCCTTCAATGAAAACACGGGCGAGTGGAAGGCCGGAGCGGGGGCACAAGAGGCGCGGGCGTTCTTGCCATGCCTCCGCGAGTGAGGACGGCCTGGTGGCGATCCTGGTCCGTGAAGCGGTCAGTGACACCTCAGACAACAAGTGGGATGCTTACAAGCATGGACCATTGAAATCACTGACTGTTGTGTTGGAGCCAACACGGCATGCCTGTGGAGGAAATGGGTGAATTTCGATGGCCCAGTTGATGCGATTTGGATCGAGAACATGAACACAGTGCTGGATGACAACAAGAGCCTCCTCCGCAAAAGGAGAAGCGACTTGAGAGGTTGGATTCTCATGCGATGTTTGAACTGAGGATGTTGTGCCTGTCCAACGGAGAGCGGATCAAACTCCCTCCGAGCATGACTGTGATGTTCGAGGCCAGTGTTGGAGTAAGTGGGACTGTTTGTGCTTTTAAGTTTGAATCGAATAAGAAAAATATTCTGGGGACTGGAACGCGGTGAATCAAGAGATCGAAGGAGCAGTTCTTTGTGCTCTGTCCATCCCGTGTTGCGCTTCCCGTTCCTTCCACCCTGTTCTCGTTTACTTCTCCCTTGTCTTCTCCGCATCGGGTTTTCCCTCGACTGTATATCTGCGATGTCTAGAGAATGTAGAAGCTAGCGTCTCACGGCATGCATAGTGTGCTACTAAACAGTAAGGCTCGCGGTCTTACAAGCGCTTGCCGAGTGAGTAGTAGATGAACCACTGGGTTGACCTGCAGGTGAACGATTTGGCAGTAGCATCGCCTGCCACGGTCAGTAACAAGCTCAGCTATTCTTCAAGCATCGGAGGTTCGATTTTGACGATTTTGCCTGCGTGAGGCCGATGTGGCATGGTTTATCTCGAGCCGGTTCACCTGGGTCGCTGGCTGAGCTGATTACTTAAAGGCTCATGGGGCTCAGTAAGCAAGGTTAGAAGTAGGTTATAGTTTCGATAACTCCACTTAGGAGACTTATAACCCCAGGTAGCCTTCAGCCCAAGCGCAAGGCGACGATGCTTACTCTCAAAGCAACTGTGTCCAGATGTTTGAGGCTGGAAGCCGCTCATCCAGACGTGGGTGGAAAAGCAAGTCCCCCAGCAAGGGCTTGTGTGTCGGCAGGATTCATCAGTTGCTGGGCTCGCCGTGGTATCGGCACACGCCTTGCAAGCGATGTGTTCCTGATACCCGTGTGATAGTCACAATGATTGATTGCAGCGAGCCTCTTCGGGGGTGGGAGCAGGTGATTGATGAATGAATAAAGTGTTGTCGAGCATGCTGCTGTGACGGAGGTAGGTACTAGACGTTTTTGCCCCGCCTGGGTGTTTAAACCGTATTGAAATGCCCGACTTTGCCTGAACTTGGCAGGGGTTACGGTTTATAGGGTTTACAGGATTTAGGGTTTCGGGTTTGGGGCTAAGGGTTTGGGGTTGGTTTAGGGTAAAGGGTTCATATGGCTTAGGTTTTTAGGGTTAAGTTAAGCCCAGTCTCGTTTTGTCAAAAGTTGTAAGAAGCGTTTGCATTTTTTATAGCAGAGCCATGCTTCGTTATCGCAATATCTGCTTTTGCACAACCGTCTGCGGCGCTGATTCACCAATGGCGCAAAATGCGTGGCTTCACATATTGCGTGTAGCTCCACGAAACAGCAAGAGACACTTTGTCTGTTGGGATCTATTGAGTTTGGTTTCGTGCCGCTGTCCATGTTTTGCCTGCTCACGTGTTCGGTGGTTCTGTGATCGGCTGAGGTTCCAGGTGAAGTTCCCAGAGTTCGCCAAGGACATCGGGAAATGGGCAACATCCGTCTGCGAAGAGGCCACGTCAACAGGAGTCCGTGTCGGCGTGCAGTTTTGCACGCTTGGATGCACACTGTGTCCAACTGGATGCAGGCCCTCCCGTACATTCGGGAAGAGTGCCAGGAAGCTCCTGGAATACCGAGCATGGATGCAAACCTGGTGCAGGACGGTCATCTGTCGAACTTCACAATGGTGCCTTTGAGCCAAAACTGTGCAGGCTTACCTGAGAATGCTGACTGCATTCATCTCGGAGCCCCATCAGCTCGTGCCAGAAGGTGTGCTGCCCAGTGTTCCCTCGCCACTGACTGTCACATCTCAATTCAAGTCTCCCGAACATGTCCACGTGTCATGACGTCGTGATTCCTTTGTCGTGTAGCACACACTTGTTTGTGCGAAGTGACAACATATTATCTCACTTGATCACCGAATCGGTCAGGGGATAGACTCACCGATTCAATTCGAATGATTGTACACTCCGTGGCCATTTTGGCGAAAAGCTGTTCCAGCTTGAGAAATTTTGTTTCAGTCCCCTCGGATCACTCCTCGGTCATAGCCGCTCCGGGCGGCCAGTACTCCGAGTCCTACTACGACCGCTGCTGGCGGCCAGTACCTCGAGCAATACGGCTTCTCTGTCAGTTGTTGACAGTTTGAAGGAATCGCTTGAGGAATTCAGCCGTGAGCAAGTTCTCGAAGATTTTCAAGTCGAGAAACCCGAGGATGTGACGTGGGGAGCTTGGAACAAGCGACAAACCCGACAGATACGAAAGGCCATCGATCATATCGCCCAGTGTCAGACGGCGAACGACATTGTCAATCTTGCGGCGACCTTGTTGAAACCGCCCAATCTCGAGGCCTTCTTGTACCTGCACATTACCAACCGCGACGAGTCCGCGGAGCCGTTGACGGTGCCGTTCGAGATCGTCGAGGCTTCCCTACACCCCGACTCCGATCATGCACCCCTTCCAGCTGACACCGACGCTGCTCTTCTTGTGCACGAGACCGATCTGCATAATCAGCATTTGGCAGACATTTTCCGTGATGATTTCGGCATTGAACTTCATAATCCCGAACCCGCTGCCTCTACAGCTCGAAAGAGAAACTTCGAAGGGCGCCTTAAGCCCTCTAACACGACATCTATCGACTTGGATTAGCAACTTCGAAGCCATGGCAGTTCCTCGATCTGACTCTTGGTTCGACTTTCTTTGCGAGGGCTCGACGCAGAATATCACTGCACCTGTGCCGAGTTCCATGCTCGCCGAGTTCCCCGAAAAGGTGCACGACCAAGCCCGAGTTCCTTTGTCTGCGATCAAAAGACAGATTTGCCCCCGAATCCTCGATACCAAGAACTGCAACATGCACAACTGTGTATACCTACACCCCGATTTCCTGGACAAGAAATGGGTGGTGCCTAATCTGATTTGCCACAAATGGTTCCAGGGATGCTGCGAGTACCACAACACTTGTTGGAACCAACACGGACATACCTTCGATGATGCCATGCGCCGAGCTGTCGTACTTCAACGACAACTCCGACGCGGTGAGCCTCCGTATCACTACTCATCCCGAGGTGCTTTCCTCGAACAGGTGACCCGAGGACAGGCGCAAGAGTGGATCATGGACACCATGGCCACCTTTCGACACACCGAGATGCGCAAATTCAACTTCGGTACCAACTTTTCCAAGTATTACGACTTCGAGGCGTGGGACAAGTCTGCCGCTGCAGCCAAACTCCGACAAGAAATAGCAGATGGCAATCATCGAGGACGATCCCCTCGACGAGCCCGCGATGACTCTCGACCCCCAGCAACATGGGGACAACCACCGACTCCACCGCGAGGGAACATCTTCCCCACTTCGGGATCTCAATTCCCTCCGGCAGCTACACCGTCGGCGGCTCCTTCGAACCCGACACCATCGGCGGCACCCTCGACAGCATCTACGAGCACCACACCAAGACGGCCATTCTTCCAGCTGAGCACGGACACGGACTCCGATGCCCCCAGCTTTGGTCGATCCACCCGAGCTGCCTTCCGCCCCGGCTATGGAGCAGCTCGCGGTTCACAACGACCATTGTCACCGGCGAGATTCCCTCGACGATCGACATCACCGGCCAAGAGATGGCTCGACAACACACCGATAATCGTCGAGGTCCCAGATGAGATTGCCGCCTCGACTCCAGCCCCAACTCCGACGGCCCCACCTACTACCACCGCACAACAGACTCGACCGGCTTCTCCTGATCCTTGGCACGAAGATGACGACACCACAGAACCGCCGACTCCCCCTATGGCAGCTCCGGCGACACCTCCGATCCCGACGCCTACGAGCACTCAGGTGACACAGCCGACGGACCAAGCCACAGCTACGGCGACTAACAATCCGAGTGACTCCGAGTGGATCAACCCGGCCTTCGGTACACCGACTACTACGACCATTGTGGGGGCGAAGACAAAGGCCATGCCCAAAATGGTCCCGCCGAGGTTCACGGTTCACCCGGCAGTGGACCTCTCACCATCGGACCCGAGACAGGTCCTTACACCGAACACGACCCAGTCTGGAGCTGCCTCCTCCTCGACGGTCGTGACATCAATGCGGAGTCCATACGCGAGTGTGCTGATCGCGGTACAGCCACAGCCACCACGACAGTCCTGCCTCGAAAGATTCCGAGTACAGTGGCTCGACACACAGGTTGTTGACAAGGGCAGGACGTCGATTGACGATGTCCGATCCAATCCACCGGTCTCACACCAGCCTGTGTTCGGATTCCAGACTTTGAGACACTTCGACAACTTCCCGATGCTGTCCCCGAACTTACAGGCGATGACACCGGTGGGCGGCCACAATGTCGCGATGCTTCCTCCGGGCAACCACCCGTACTCGTCCTTTTCCTTCGATTCCCCATGGGAAATCACATATGACGGCGTCATTTACCTCGAACAGGTTCTCCGATGCCCGACCTTCGGGAGCTACCTGACACAGTTTGGGCTGTACATCGACCTCCCGATCCACACCCCGCAGGACGACACTCTCCAGGAGAGGATCTTGCTCCTGGGTGTCCCGAACAACTTCGTCGACCCCCGAACTACACTGATCTACTCGATGGTCTGGCACAGCATAACGGCGTCCCTCTCCGACCTGAGTCATACATCGGTGGAGGACCGCATGAACCGACTCCGAATGTGGTGCCATGCAGCCCACAACCTCAACCTTTTCGCGACACAGATGCCAAACTTCGAGCCGATGACGACCTTCTTTCGTGAACAAGCATCTGCGATCATCTCGTGTACTTCGAACATGCTAGCTCCGGCGATGCGGAGTGCCTTCGCCCAACACGAGAGAATGCGACCTATCATCGCCGCAGAGCCACCGGCCTTCATCCTACGATTTCGAGAAGGCTCTCGATCTTTCAACTAGACGTTCCCGAAGCCCACCGGTCTCACATGGTTACCCCGTTTCCGCCTCGGCGACGCACGGGAGTGTCCGGCGTCACCTCGATTTCGGGCTCTAGGGGGGACTTCCGCCTCGGCGATGTGTCCCACTCTACCCGACAGTCTACCTCGACTTTCGCATTGCCCACACGAGAATAAGAAGTGAAGCCCCACTGCCCAGTACAATCACTTTGTGTTTACCACAGGCTCTACTAGTTGTAGTGGGGCCTGCTCTCTCCTTGGAGATTGCTTGGCTTCCGTAGACTTCGACCTCGCAGGTCCTGTTTTGTACTCCCGAACCTCCCGACCCACTCGACGCGATGGCCAGCCACCGTCAGACCCCGATGGACATTGATCCGATTGAACAGTTTCCCGAGGTTTCCACGACTGCACCCGATCCAATCGAGCAGTTCTCCCAAGCACCCGCGAGTAGCTCCGGGGCTGTTCTGCCGGCCGCGCGATACTTGGAGGGTGTTGACCCAGACACCGAAGCGGGCCGTGCTCTCAAGATGCAACGAAGACTATACGACGATCAACACACCCAGGGAGCCCTCGAGGTAATCGCTTTCAAGCGAGCTTCCGAGAAGACCGCGATGGCATCCCTACGTCGACAGTTTCCTAACTCATCAGACGCCGAGCTCGCCACCATCTGGCGGCGACAATTGACCGGCGAGGAAGTCGACGATAACGGGATGCCCATCGAGCTCATTGGTCGCGATGGGACTTCGATCGAAGACCAGCACAAGAGAGACGTCGATCGCGTGGAAAAGTACCTCCAGTACTTCAGCACCCCGAGCACCGACAAAATCCACGACGGCTCCCTCGATTGTACTTTCTGTGGCCTCCTCTTCCCTTCCTACTACTTGCTCTCGGTCAACCCCGATGGTGAAGACGATTGGCGCAACATACACTACCGATGCTGTTACCAGTGCGCGACAGGAGCCAACGAGGACTTTGTGTGGTACGCGGAGCACTCCGACCTCTCGCCGGCCAAAGTCGGGGTACGCGGTAATCTTCGAGATGCTCCCTACAACCAAATGGATCGCCGAAGGCTTTATGACCGCGATGATGACCACGAGACAAAGCCGCCGGGTTGGCACATCGCCATCGATCGGACACACGGTTTCTACTGCAAAGTGTTCTTCGACAACTACTGGGACACCTCGAAATGCCGATGGATCCGCAAGCCGACTTTCGTCCGCAAGAACACGACCCGCTGCGACACGATCAGCATCCCCGACTGGTACCTCATTTGTCAAAAGGTGAACTCCGTCAGAAAGCGAATTACACAGGAGACCGCGAGACAGCGAAGTGCTTCGTGGAAGCAAATGTGCGAGGACATCGAACGCGAGCGCCCAGGGGAGTCCAAGTCGAATGTGAGACGCGAAGTCCGAGCACGAATTCTACGACTCACGGACATTTTCGTGGCGGACCTCGCTAAGCTCGACGAGTCCCAGAAACAACGAGTGTTCCAAGCCTTCGCCCAATGGGAGATCACGACGATCGCTCGAGCCATCGACCCTCACTGGAACGCCGATGAATTCTGGAGTATGGTCACCAACGAGGCGCCACTCACCGATTGGTTGTTTCGAGTCTCCGACAGCATCGACCAGCACTTTATCTGTCGATCCAAGGGGTGCACTTCGGTGATACACAATCACCATTGGCTTCGACAGATCTCTTGGGACTACTCGATTGCTTCGCAACACGGACGATACTCTTGCCCGAGGTGTTTGACCGCGTACAGACCCTGGGCACTTCGAAACAATGCGTCCTCCACGAATTCCCCGACTTTCGTCCCGGCCCAGAAGGCTCTCATCATCAACGGCGATGGCACCACGCTGGAC